TTTTTTTTTTTTTTTTTTGCAGAGTATTTATTCAAGTTGTTTACTATATAATTTCGCTTGTGCCATTTTGGAAGCCCTTTATTGTAAAGACTACTTTTTTGTCTGATGACAAATGGCAGCCACACTGTAAGTGATTATTCTGGACCTCCATGTTGAATAAATTCAATTTCTTTATGAGATACAAGTTTCCTTCTGTATTTCTGAGGTAATGTTTTTATTATATCTGCAGTGTCTGGTGGACCCTGATGCATCAGCAAATCTGGGGATTTACTTCTCTTAGAATGCTGTGAAATTGAAGAGTGAGACGGTAGTCCTGCTGATTTCAAAACTTGTGGTATCATTAGGTTTAGGATTGTCTCTTCTGTCACAGAACCTTATTATTTTTTTTTTTTAAAGATTTTTTATTTATTTATTTGACACACAGAGAGAGTGAGAGAGAGAGCACAAGCACAAGGAGCGGCAGGCAGGCAGAGGCAGAGGGAGAAGCAGGCTCCCCATGGAGCAAGGAGCCCGATGTGGGGCTTGATCCCAGAACCCTGGGATCATGACCTGAGCCGAAGGCAGCCATTTAACCAACTGAGCCACCGAGGCGCTCCTGTCACAGACCCTTATGAATGGAGTATGTGGCTTGACTACCTGAATGACCCTGCTAGCAGACACCATCTTGCTGCCCATCATGATCCCAGGATGGGGCAGCAGCTTCCGGGGCGCTCGCTAGGCACAGAGATAACAGGAGTCCTGGGCAGCTGGGGGCGGGCCCTCTGGCATGCCTATTTTCTAATAATAATTCTTTATTATGGATGATAATGAAGAAGTACATGAATTGATACTGAAGAATTACAAATTGCCTTCCAGAATCACCTCAGATCAAAATGTCTCTGGACCTTGGTTTCCTTTCTTATAAAATGAAGGAGTTGAACCAAATGGTCACCAGACTTAACATACTTCCAAATGTAATGTACTCCCATACTTTACAATAGTAAAAATGTCTTATTGGCAGTTCCTCGAACCCTAAACATAGAATTACCATTTGACCCAGCAACTCCACTCCTAGGTATATACCCAAAAGAACTAAAAGCAAGGACTCAAAAAAATACTTGTACCCCAATGTTCACTGCAGCATTATTCACAACAGGCAAAAGTTTGAAACAACCCAAGTATCCTTCAACAGATGAATGGTTAAACAAAATGTGGCATATACATACAATGGAATATTATTCTTAGCCATAAAAAGAAATGAAGTCATGAGGCGCCTGGGTGGCTCAGTTGGTTAAGCGACTGCCTTCAGCAGTTGGTTAAGCGACTGCCAGGTCATGATCCTGGAGTCCCTGGATCGAGTCCCGCATCGGGCTCCCTGCTCGGCAGGGAGCCTGCTTCTCCCTCTAACCCTCCTCCCTCTCATGTACTCTCTCTCTCATTCTCGCTCTCTCAAATAAATAAATAAATCTTTAAAAAAAAAAGAAATGAAGTCCTGATACATGCCACAACATGGATGAACCTTCAAGACATTATACCAAGTGAAATAAGCCAGACACAAAAGGAAAATATTGTATGATTCCACTTACATGAAATATCTACACTAGGCAAATTTATAGACAGTAAGCAGAGTACAAGTTACCAGGGGCTGGGGAAAAAAGGGGAAATGGGAAGTTATTATTTATAGTTTCTGCTTGGGGTGATAAATAGATGGGAGTGATGGTTGCACAACAGGCCACTGAATTGTACACCTAAAATGGGTGAAATGGTAAGTTTTATGTTTTTGATAGATGTTACCCTAATAAAAAAATATGGAATTATTCATATAGATATAGAAGCTTAGACACAGTCTGTGTGATGCTAGGCAGGTCTCAACCTCTGCAATTGTCACTTTCTTCATCTATAAAATAGGGATAATAAAATCCATTATCAATTCATGGGATCTGTAGTGGGACATGGGTATCTGTGAGAAAAAAATAAATTCTATGTATGAGTCAAACTGTTTGATCAATTTATAATGCATCAAAGCAAAGATACGCAAGACCACCTATGAAAGACTCACACATGAGAGAGAAATGTTCCTCTTTCCCCCATCTTACCTCTTAGACTTTACTAATCCAGATTTAAAAGTTAGCAATCAGAAAATTGTATGTTCATGCTAGATGAGAGTTTATTTTATATACGCAATGAGACAATGCGTTCTAGCGGAACAATTTTCTCCTATTTCTTAGATATAGAAAAGCAGACCATTTAGGGGTGCCTGGGGGGCTCAGTCAGTTAAGCATCCGACTCTTGGTTTCAGCTCAGGTTGTGACCTCAGAGTCCTGGGATGGAGCCCTGCATCAGGCTCTGCGCTCAGCAGGGAGTCTGCTTCCTCTTGCCCTCTCCCTCTGCCCCTCCTCCCGCTTGTGCACGTACACTTTCTCTCTAAAATAAATTTAAAAATCTTAAAAAAAAAAAAAAAAAAGAAAGAAAGAAAAACAGACCATTTAGTTCAAGAATGTACAGAGTGTGACAGGAGGGAAATGGCTCCTTAAAAAAGATCTTGGTAAAGGATCAAAAAATAAATAAATCTGACAGATAAATAGGCAGTACAAAAAGAAAAGCTATATAGGGCGCCTGGGTGGCTCAGTTGGTTAAGAGACTGCCTTCGGCTCAGGTCATGATCCTGGAGTTCCGCATCGGGCTCCCTGCTCAGCGGGGAGTCTGCTTCTCCCTCTGACCCTCCCCCATCTTGTGCTCTCTCTTTCTCATTCTCTCTCTCAAATAAATAAATAAAATCTCTAAAAAAAAAAAAAAAAGAAAGAAAAGCTATATAAATTACCCCAAGGCCAAAGTCAGAAAGAAAATGAGCCTGATAGATTGTAAATCGTATTAGAATGACACACACACACAGCCATCAGGGTGATTATAGGTGCGGTATCAAAAGAACAAATGGTGAATATTACAAGCAGCAGTAAAAATGTTTGGGTCGATGAAGGTTTTGAAGTGATCTTCAAGAGTGGGAAAGCCGGTGGTAAAACCCATTTGAAGGAACATACTGTTTTGTAAAACTACCCAACTTTGTAAGAACTTCTCTCACATGAGCCAAATCAAAAATATACAACAGCCAACATAAGGAAGCTTCTATTTCCTGCTAGTCTGCATTTTTTCTGCCTGTGGCTGAGAAAGCTGAAATGTTACATTGCAATTACAGTTTTTCCCCTTTCGGAGCGCCCTTGTGGCTTTGTTGACAGCCCACAGCCTCCTTAGCCTTCTATGGAGGTGAGTGTGAAGATGACACATAGAAAGCCGCAACTCACCGTGGGGACAGAAAGAAGAGGGCATACATACCTCGTTCAAATTTTAACCGCTGGTAAAGCTGAAACTGATCCACAGGCACCAGGCAGGCAATCTGAAACCAGAGATATTAACAAGATGAGGTCTCTGTCCTCACTGGGGCCCAGAGTTCCAGCCTCCTAGGACCTCTCCTTCTTGTCTGGCTTACTTTTTATCAGTGGTTTGAGAATTTCTTTTTCTCTCCACAGTTCCCATGGTAAGACAAGCAGCAATTCCTGCAGCAGCCCCAGTCCTCCGCCATGGCTAGGAGTCACAACTCAAGGCACCCACGACAGAACTCCTTGGTCAAATTCCATTCTTACCCTCAGCAGCTGCTAGGACCAGACAACCAAACTTTTGGACTTTCCCAATTAGTTATGTATATATATGCAAGATGCTTCTTTATCACTCCACATTCATTTAAGAAACGTTTAAAAGATTATGGTTCTAGCTTTAGAACCTTAAAAACTAAGGTCAGGTAGATCGTGCCTCAGGAATTATGAAAACCTCATTAGTTTCCTCAGGAATAGAACCTTCTAAGCAACATGAAAATCATTTCTTCAGACAAAAAAAAAAAAAAAAATCACTTCAGGGGGCCCTTGGTTGTCCCTCATTGCCATCCATGTCTTGGTAGAAAAGAAATGCTAAAGATATTTCTTGTGGCTCGATTCCTATTTCCATTGCAGATGGCGATATGAACCAAAGGTTTACAAGTAAATGACAGTGATTCAGACCTAACCAAATGACATTTCAGATTAATCCTTTTAAATTGCATTTCAAAGTCAGATGCAGGAAAAGCTAACTGCTCTTAAACTGGCATTCTAAAAATAATAGTTCCATTGACGTCAACTATATTGATGTTGCTGAAAAGATTTATAACTGAGAAGACCCAAGGATTTGATATTAGGCTTCAAAACATTTAGCAAGTTGATACAGGACACAGGCGTAGGCTTGGCAATTCTGACTCGAAAGCATTACATATCCTTTGGTATAAAATATATCTAGACGGAAGTTCCTGCAACTAATGAAAGGAAGTCTGCTTTAAGAAAACAAGAGTAAAAAAATGAGGCAGTTAAAAATTGTACTTAACAAATATAGTACATTTTAAAAGCTTTTCAAAATCGAATCCTCCTCCTCACAAAAAAAATTCAATTTATTTTGCAAATGAATTAAACGAAGTTAGCTAAAATGTATGAAGGACTGCAAAACAGGCAAGTTCAGTCTTCTCCATTCCAAGTACAGTAAAACATAAATTTAATTTAGTTATAACATTTTTCTCCAGCTGGGAGGAAAAGGTTGCATTTTCATCTGGCACTTTAAATAACGCTCCTGAGCAATCACTGTAAAAAAATTATGGTTAATTTTATATGATGTGTGTTGTACCATACTTTTTTAAAAAGTGTGGTTAGACTTTGATTACACTGAAAGCCAGTTTTGTTTCATCTGTTATAATACTGCCTGGACATTTCTGAAAAGACAAAGGTGTCTCAAAAAAATTCTGAGTTGGAGACAGAAGACACAGGTAACCAAAGGGATGGGAGGCACTGAGGAATCTGAATTCAACTCCTGACTTAGTCACTGCTTCATTGTGGTAGAGGACAAATAATCTAATACTACTTCAACTTTTGGGCCAAGGTGACTTGGAGATGATGTTATCTTTTGCCCAAGAGATCTCAGTGAGAGTCTGTATATCTATTTTTAACCACCGCCCCCAAAAAAGGCCTTTGATTCTATGGGACAGTCCTGTACTCTACTTGCCCCTGTCTAAAACAGTTTCTGGACTGATGAAGAACTTCTTCAAACCCCTCAAAGTCAACTCCTAAAAATTCTGATTTTTTTTTCAATGACATGCAATATATGTATCAGCTCTGTCAAATACAATTGATGGAAGACGAAGCAAACAGGAGATAAAGTACTTTAGACACAGATGAAATGCTAATGAGAAAGGTGACACAAATTAATGCAGTAAAAAGTCAACAACAGTAGAGATGGATGTTTAATTTTAAATTAGAAAGATAAATTTCATCAGAGGACACATCACTGCCAACAGGGAAGTCAGAGGTCTCTAGCTTTTTTGGTCTCTTATTCTACTTTAAATCTCCTATTTATTATTTTTTACAGATCAAAGATTTTTATGGAATTAAGACTTAATAAGGTAAATCAATTTTTTTCTATTGAAATTTGTGGTAAAAAAAAAAAAAAGTTAGTTCCATCACCACCATTCTCTTCCCAGACCCCACCACTTAGATTTGTACCTTCTCAGTATTCTGGTTGACAATGCACCAAGGGTAAAGCAGTGGCCAGAAACTTGGGGAGACAGATGAGGAAAGGGGGCAGAGAAGGAGCTTAAATTACTCAGAAGGCAATAAAGACACATAAGGTGGTTTTTTTTTTTTTTAAATCTACTCCTTGGGAAAAAAAGAATCGACTCCTTGACCTTACCATTTGTTGGCTTTTACAGATTAGATTAGTTCTCTGAAATGTTTGTTATACCCATGGCTTTAGAGAAAGCTGGACCTTGTAAAAAAGACAATCCAAAGTATTAAATTCCCAGTTCCACTGCCATTTGGAACTAAGTCACTATTGTCCAAGGTCTTTTACAATTATAAACCTGAAATAAATGTGTTAGGATGATTACTGAAGGCTCAATTAGATCACAGGTTAAAGGGCTACTGCTTTAAAAAACAAAACAAAACCCAAAACAATCACAAAGACTCTCAAGCTGATTGCAAAACTGGAACTCCAACAAAAGACATTATAAAGAGGTGTCTTGCGATATATAACTATTCTCTCCCTACCAACAAAGAAATTCCAAATTGTTCAAAATCATATCAGAACATTCCTTTTTAACTTTTTTATTTTAAAATAATTTTAGACTGACAAAGAATTGTGAAACTTGGGTAGAGTTCTTAAATTCCATTCTCCCCAACTTCTCCCCAACTTACCTTACATAACCATAGGTAAGAATAATAAAATTTACACTGATATAAAACAAACCATCTGCGAGCCTTATTCCAAGCTCAAAAATTGTCCTACTTATGTCTTTTTTTTTTTTTTTTTCCAGTCCAAGATTCAATTCAGGATACCTCCTTGCATTTAGTTGCCGAGTCTCCTTAGCCTTCTCCAATCTGTGGCAATTCCTCAGTTTGTCTTTGCCTTTCATGACCTTGACCTTTCATGACTTTGAAGAGTACAGGCTAGTTATGTGCTACACTGTTCTCCGATTTGGGTTTGTCTGATGCTTTCTCATGATTAGGTTGAGGCTGTGCAGTTTTGGTAAGAATATCACAGAAGTGATGTTGAGCCATCCAGGAAGTACATGAGGACACCCATCTCATTACTGGGATTGTTGACTTTTTAACTTGGTTACGGTGGTGTCTACCAAATTTCTCCACCCTTTGTAATCAGCAAGTATCTTGTTCTTGTAGGTATACATTTTGAGATTCTGCAAATATCCTGTTTCTCATCATAACTTTGCTCCACTAATTGTTGTATCTATTGATAATTCTTGCCTACAATAGTCATTACTGTGATATTTGCTTAATGATGATTTTCTATTTCCATCATTCACTCTGTATTTGTTTATTAGAATTCTACTGTAAGAAAGAGCTGTCCCGGATGCCTGGGTGGCTCAGTCAGTTAAGCATCTACCTTCAGCTCAGGTCACGATCCCAGGGTCCTTGGATCCAGTCCTGCATTGGGCTTCCTGCTCAGCGGGGCGTCTGCTTCTCCCTCTGCCCCTCCCCACCGGCTCGTGATCTCTCTCTCTCACTCTCAAATAAATAAATAAAATCTTAAAAAAAAAAAAAAAAGCTGTCCCTTCTCCCTCATTTATTTATTATTCATTTATTTATTCAGGTTGCTATGGACTACTGATATTTATTGTATTCAGTGGGTTCTAATCCACTAATGACCAGCTCCACATTCAAGCTGTAAAAACAAAAATTTCCAAGTATCTTCTCAACTATCAAGAGCCCACTTCAATCAGATCTAAGAAATTCTTATCTTGATTTAAAGTGATTTTTTATTGCTATTTCTCTTTTGAAATTTATGTTAATCTGCCTGTTAAACAAAATTTCTCTCTCCTCCAATCCAAGCATGAAAGACCACTTTTTCTCATCCTCATCATTCTAGAAATTCTTTCCAAAAAGAAAGAAAATTTAAATCAAAGAGAAAATAAACTCAGTTTAATTTTAACAGAATAAAAGCAGTAACATCAGAACAAGAAGAACAAATAGCTACTAATTGCCCATAATTGCACTCTGTTTTGTTTTGTTTTTCCTGGTAAAAATGAACCTGAGGATACTTATTAAATACTCAGTTCCTACTTTACTGGAAGTGTGGTTTTCCATTCCACTCCAACCATGGCACAAGATAACCAGGGCATTCAGAATATACATACACACGGGGTGCTGTAACTGTTATACATGATGGTTAACTGGATACATCTAACATTCACAATTGAGAAGAACAGGGAAAGTGAGGTATACCTTTGTTGACTACATTAACTATGATCATAACATCTAAGCAAGCATCACCACCTACATTGACACTAGCCGTACAAAAACTAAAGGAAATGGGGGTGGGGGGAGGGGAGAGCCTGTTTGCCAGAGAAGCATTTATGCTGAAAGTGATGTGTTCCCATAATACTGACAGTTGGCCAATATCTTATATATAAAATACAATATGTATATAAAAGATTTTTTTAAAGCTTTTATTTATTTGAGAGAGAAAGTGAGAGACAGAGCATGAGCGGAGGGGGAGGGGCAGAGGGAGAAGCAGACTCCCCGTTGAGCAGGGAGCCTGATGTGGGGCTCGATCCCAAGACCCTGAGATCATGACCTGAGCTGAAGGTAGATGCTTAACCAACTGAGCCACCCAGGTGCCCCCATATAAAAGATTATAATATATATTAGGAAAATGAAATGGTTAAAACATTGAGGTTAGGGTTTGGCTTCATGCAAGTACCACTCATCAAGGTCTGGAAAGCCAGGACAGAAAAGAAAAAGAAGAAAGAAAAGCCTAGTCTTCACTTGAGTTTGGCCCTTTAAACCATACTAATGCTACAGTTGCTTT